AATCCTTGGGGAGAATATCGTCTTTAGAGGCCCTCCGTAGGCCTAACTCGGGAACAGTGGCCCTCCCTGGGCTTGACTTGGGGACTGGAGCCCTTTCTGTGCTACACTCGGGGACTGGAGCCCTCCGTGGGCTAAACTCGGGGACAGGAGCCCTCTTAGCGCTAGATTCGGGGGCTGGAGCGAGTTCTGGGGCTGGAGCCGACACTGGAGCGAGCTCTGGGGCTGGGATGAGGGCTGTGAACAGTCCTTTTCTCCTCATCCTCCTCCCTTGGTTACAGGTGAATAGGGCGGCTGACGGGCTTGTCGTTGTGGCGGCCAGCAGGCTTGACATTGACGTGGCCGGTGGGCTTGACTCGGGAACGGCTGGGGGGCTTGAGAATGCCTCGGCCGCGAGCTCTGGGGCTGGAGCCGACACTGGAGCGAGCTCTGGGGCTGGAGCCGACACTGGAGCGAGCTCTGGGGCTGGAGCCGACACTGGAGCGAGCTCTGGGGCTGGAGCCGACACTGGAGCGAGCTCTGGGGCTGGAGCCGACACTGGAGCGAGCTCTGGGGCTGGGATGAGGGCTGTGAACAGTCCTTTTCTCCTCATCCTCCTCCCTTGGTTACAGGTGAATAGGGCGGCTGACGGGCTTGTCGTTGTGGCGGCCAGCAGGCTTGACATTGACGTGGCCGGTGGGCTTGACTCGGGGACGGCTGGTGGACTTGAGAATGCCTCGGCCGGCAGGCTCGACTTCAGAGCTGCCGACGGGCTTGAGAATGCCGTGGCCAGTGTGCTGGTTCTGGCTTGGGGCCGGACACTCTCCAGACACCGGAGGATCCCTTCCCTCCAGCTTAGTCCCGTGGTGTCTGGGAGGTCCACGGGGAGATGGTAATTGGTCCCGTGCCAGAACAGCGAGTTGATGGTGGCGTCATCCAATGCCGTCGCCACGGCGAGCCCGCAGAACTCCCAGGCATACTCGACGAAGGGGAGATCTCGGCAGGCTAAGACGGAGAACCGAGTAGCTATTTCCATGGCCGTGGGGAGAAACAACCAGGAAAACAAAAACGAAAACAAAACTGAGAGAAGGGGCACCGCTTACTTTCTGTTTTGGTGCTGTCTTCTGTCACGGTGTGCCAGGACATGGACATGGAGCACGTGGGGAACAAAAACAGACACAAAACACAGAACAAAGTCTGACACCTATAGTTTGAAGTGAAAGATATTAATAATTAATAAGGTGAGTCTGAGATGTTTATTTGACAGTGATTTCACATTTCTTGTTTGTATGAAGGTTAAATACAAATAAAAGGTGAACATTAATTTATTTGTGCTGTTTTTTTTTTCCTGAAAAATTAAATAGTTTTATAGGAAGAGGTTTCATAGACTTAGCAAAAATTATTTTCATAAGTTTGTATGTACAGACATCTGTTGTGGGTGTTCTTGGCAGTTTTTATGAGTTTTTTTTTTTTTAATAGTGTCCATATTGATATCGGAATTATATTGTTTCGACCAAAATTAAGAAATATATTGTGATATAAATTTTGGTGCTAACTGATGAACGCGCAGTTTGCAGAGAAGCATATCAGTTGTTCACTGTGGACTGTCTGACTGAAAGGGATAGTTCACCCAAAAAGGAAAATTCTGTCATCGTTTACACGCCCATAAGTTGTTCCAAACCTGTAATAATTTATTTGTTCTGTTGAGCATAAAAGGATATACTTTAAATAATGTGGGTAACCAAACAGTTTCTGGTTCCCAATGACTTTTTTTTTTTTTAGCTTACTATGGAAGTTACAACCAGCAGCTGTTTAGTTGAGACACATTCTTCAAAGTATCGTCTTTTGTGTTCAACAGAAGAAAGAACTTTATGCAGGTTTAGAACAACCTGAGTAAATTATGACCGAATTTTCATTTTTGTGTGATCCATACCTGTAAAGTGACAGACACATCCGTGCTTCTAAAGGTATAGGCCTATTGTTTTATAAAAATTTGGATAGTGTGTTAATATAATATTCCATACATTATCAGAGCTTGGTAGACATAAGTATTATATTTTTTAGAATCCATTTCCTTCGCTGAATACAGTAAGCAATAGGTCTGGCCACTTCACTCGTTTTATAAATACTTCAACTGTTGATACATTTTCTGAGGCCTTTGTTGCCTCATCATTCTGTCATGATTTAGAGTTTTCTTCTCCGGATCTTAGTGTGGATGGGTATTTTAAATCTTTTAATTCGGTTTGTACAGAAATTTTAGATGAGGTTGCACCCTTAAAATATAAGGAATCAAAAAAACTATCACAGCCGTGGATGAATGATGAAATCCGTACGTCAAGGAAAATTTGCAGAAGGACTGAACGAAAATGAAAGAAGGATAGGCTGCATGTATCATTTGATATGTTAAGAGAAGCTTTGACAAATTTTCAGTCTATTGTGAAGGTTGCAAAAGCAAAATATTTCTAGAATATAATTAATAAGAACTCAAACAAGCCTAATATTTTATTTAATACGTTTAATAAAGTGATTTTTCCTGCGCCTACTAATTGTCTAGAGGCTACTCAAAAGATGTGTGAGGATTTTTTGCAATTCTTTGTAAACAAAGTTGATAATCTTCGGTCACAGATTCAGTAACAACCTTTTATTCTGAGTTAAATCATCAGAGTTCATTTAGTAGTTTTGATCCTATTTCTTTACCTCAGTTGGAGCATATATTAAGGCACACTAGACCTGCTGCACATCAGTCTGATCCTCTTCCTCCTCGGCTGTTGTTAAAATTGTTTGATCTTTTAGGTAAAACTCTTCAATCTCTTTTTAATAGTAATTTAATTAATGGAAATGTTCCTGCTTGTTTAAAACATGCAGTAGTGCAGCCACTTCTTAAGAAACCAAATTTGGACTATACTGTTTTAAGTAATTACCGACCTATATCAAAACTACCTTTCTTATCGAAAATTTTAGAGAAGGTTGTTCTGTCTCAGCTTGCGTCATATTTAGATATGAATGCTGTTATAGATATGTTTCAGTCAGGTTTTAGATCTCTTCATAGTACAGAATCCGCCCTTCTTAAGGTGTTTAATGATGGTTTTAGGTCTCTTCATAGTACAGAATCCGCCCTTCTTAAGGTGTTTAATGATATTTTATTGGGAGTTGATTCAGGAAAGGTAGTTATTCTTATTTTACTTGATCTCACAGCTGCTTTTGATAACGTTGATCATGGTATTTTATTGCAGCGTTTGGAAGATATTGGTGTTAAGGGTACTGCCCTAGAATGGTTTAAATCATATTTAAAAGATAGATCTTTCTCGGTTTGTCTTGGAGATCTGTGTTCTACATCAGCTAAATTACATAGTGGTGTGCCACAGGGGTCTATACTTGGGCCTATTTTATTTTCATTATATATGGGCCCTTTGGGCTAAATTTTTCGTAAATATAATATTATGCATCATTTATATGCAGATACACTCAGTTCCAATAGATCCAAATGGTTTTCAATCCTGATGGACTTGCTCAGTGTTTAGGTGAGATAAGAGCCTGGTTGGCAAGCAATTTTCTTCATCTTAATACTAATAAGACTGAGTGTGTTGTATTTGGACCTTCTTCTGCTTCCAAGGAAATTATAAGTAGATTGGCCGCTATGAAAATAAGTGTTTCAGATCATGTTAAGAATTTGGGTGTTATAATGGATTCAGCCTTAGTTTTAGATAAACAGGTTACTAATGTTGTGAAGGCTGCCTTTTATCAACTCAGAATATATCTAAACTGAAAAATTTCTCTCTTTTAAGGATCGGGATCTATTATTCATGCCTTTGTGTCATCACGCATCGATTACTGTAATTCTGTATATATAGGTATTTCACAGGGTCAATTATCTCGTCTTCAATTAGTACAAAATGCTGCTGCCAGACGTTTGACTCGCACAAAGGAGAGAGAGAGAATTACTCCAGTTTTGGTTTCTTTACACGGGTTGCCTGTAGAATTTAGAATTGAATTTAAGGTTTTGCTGATGGTTTTTAAAGCGTTGCACGGCATTGCTCCAAAATATATTGTTGACCTATTGATTCATTATCAAAATTCAAGAAACTTGAGTTGATTCTTCATGTTCCCAAAACGAGATTAAAATCAAAGGGTGATAGGGCTTTCGCAGTGGCTGCTCCTCGATTATGGAACCCTCTCCCAATGCACATTAAATCTTCCCCATCTGTGGATGCTTTTAAGTCTAGATTGAAATCGTACCTTTTTGGTAGAGCTTTTAGAATTGACTAGAGGGACCAGGTTTTACATTTTAATGTTGAATCTTGATTGTGTGACTGTATGTAACGTTGCTGGAAAGCACTTTGGTCAACGGCAGTTGTTTTAAATGTGCTATAGAAATAAAATCTGTATTGTATTGTATTGTATCAAAGTATATCATAGGACTGAATATAATGGATGAGATTCAGGGAATTTACCTGGAACCTCACAGTTTTTCACAAAACGTGTCCCTTATATTACCTCGCTGAAGGTGGCAACCCTAAGCACAGTGTTTTTTTTATTTTTTATTTTTTTTATAAAGCAGTGTAAGAATAATGAACAAACTGATTCACGAATATTTTACCATTTGTTTTGCTTAAAGTGAACAGAGGACTCGTCTTTGTCAATCAGATGAAGGATTGGAGAGATGCTCAGAGTTACTGCAGACAGAATCACACTGATCTGGTCACCGTGAGAAGCCAGAATGAGAATCAACAGGTGCAGAAGATCATGAATGACTGGTTGAATGTGTGTTAGTGAGCACCAACATTATGTGCTTTAGCTCATTTGAATATCGTTTATTCTTTAAGCAGGGAAGGTTGGGTGTAAAATATTTACAATACGTTTGTGCTAAACATAAAAGTAAAACTAAAACATAATTGTCAACAACAGCAGCTCGAATAAACTCCTCTAAAACCAGCAATCTCGTCTTATTTGGCTATTTTGAATTATCATTCAGTTACAACATATAAAATAAATTGGATTTAAACCATTTTTGCTCTTTTTTTAGGCATAGTGTAACTTCTCTGTTGTTGTTACTTGGGTTTATTAAAAGGGAGCTGATGAACAAGCACAATTAAACATTAATTATCTACATTTATTACTGCAAATGTTTACAATTTGATACTCATGATACTAAGAAAAAATACATTGACATACTTTAAAAAAAATTTATATGTATTAAAAAAAAAACATTGTATTGCATTGGATATTTTTTGTTCATTGTTCGTTTTTAGGAGTCAAACTAATAAGACTAACAAACAAGACTTGTATGTAATGGAATATGACTTGATCAATGACATTCACTGTACTTTTATTTCACGTCAGAGATGTAAATATAGTCCAGCCTGAACAGCTAAATGTCGCGTGGACATAAGCAAACGAACGAGGATGTGTATACATGCAAATTCATATTCATGTTTAATAAACAAACAAACAAAAACATACAGTAAACAGCAGGAGTATGAAAAAAAACAAAATGAGAATTTTTCACAAAGAAAATCTTCTAAAAAAATGTGATAATGTTTTAATGCTCACATTCCAGCCAATCACAATCAAGTTTTTAAACTGAGAAAATAACACTTTTATTCTGAAACAGCAGCAACAGAAGATGATATTTCAGTTGGGATACTGAGAGTCCAGCAACATTGTCTAACATTATAAATGGACCTCAGGAGAATAGATATGAGCACTTTAATGCAGGGTGGTCAGAGTCTTCATCTCATCTCTGTTTTGTACGTCCGCCATGGTCTCGTCTTCACCACCAGGGGTCTCGGCTCTCGCCCCGTCCCCTTTACGACTCAGCTTGAAGGATAGCTTGGTGAAAACAGAGCTCTCTGCATTAGAGCCGCGACTGCTGCGGGTGGAGGCAGACTCTGAATTGGTTCCTTCGAAGAGTTTGGCCATGAAGCCCAGACCAGCCTGACGGATGTGAGAGCTGCCGGCAAACACGTACAAGACGGGGTTCACGCTGCTACTCATGAAGGCGAACGCCGTCACGTTGGGACGGGCCACTTTTGCCGCTTTTAAAATAGAAGAGGAGGATCCCTGCATCACACCAATCACCTGTGAGAACAGACCAACAAGAAAGAGAAATGACAAGCGCTTTTGTGGGCTGACATAAAATGAGAGAAAACTGACCTTACTGAACGTAGCCTACTTTATATTTCACACATAAGAAAACAGTTGACAGTCCTTTAGAATATGCAAGGGAGGCTGAGCCTACTTAATAATGAATTAAAAGTAATCAAACTAATGCTGTTTTTAGCAGTTCATCCACTAATTTGCATAACTCAAATGCATTTTTAATTTAAAAGATCACATTTTCTTTCATAAGTGAGTTGACAGCTTTAAAAAAAATTCTCATTCGTAAACTGAACAGAATGGATATTCAAATAACACGTCTTCCTAAATAATTTGCCTCCTTTCATTTAAATACCCTAGTGCTGAAGTGGAACTATTGCAAGTATACTTCAAGAACACTTTAAATATCTTGGCTTTAAAGACCAATATTTTTCAAAATCTAATTATGAGATAACAAGCATCAAAGTTTGATTTCAACCATTATTTTCACTATGATTTCAATATTTGACATGGTCTAAATGCATTTTTTATTCAAAAGGTCTCATTTTCTTTCATTAGTGAGTTGACAGGTTAAAAAAATCGTATTCACAAACTGACCAATCAGAATGGATATTCAAATAATGCAACGTCTTCCTGCATGATTTGCCTCCTTTCATGTAAATACTCTAGTCATAAATATACTAAAATGTATTTGAAATACATTTATTTCATGCTAAGAATACTACAAATACATTTACATATTATTTATTTAATAAAAATGCTCTGCAATTGCACTTTAGGTATACTAAACTGGTATACTTAAAGTTAGCTAAATTTGAACAACTAATTTTAACAAGCATCAAAGTTTGATGTCAACCATTAATGACATGGTCTTACTCAATGTAAATACTCTAGTCATAAATATGCTAAAATGTATTTGAAATACATTTATTTCATGCTAAGAATACTACAAATACATTTACATATTATTTACTTAATAAAAATGCTCTGCAATTGCACTTTTGGTATACTAAACTGGTATACTTAAAGTTAGCTAACTAATTTGAACAAGCATCAAAGTTTGATGTCAACCATTAATGACATGGTCTTACTCACTCATTATGAAAGATATCAAGGTTACATTTTCACAGAATGTTGAGTATGTATGATTTTATGTAGAAAACAGTAAATCACAAAAAAATGACTTTAGTTGGGTTTTCACTGCCAAGGTCACTTATTGAGAGGTGTTGCTCACCTGTAGGATGTTGATGAGGTGATACGGCAGCCAGAAGACGGTGAACGCAACGATGATGAGGAGGATGAGGGTGCTTCCTCTTCCTTTGCGGTGGAACATTGTGCTCCGCAGCCGACAGATCACTGAGATGTAGCAGAACAGGATGAAGGTGAAGGGCAGCAGGAAACCCAGGATAGTCTCAGACAGGTACTGAAAGACTTCATGACCGTCGCTCTCCCAGTGGTACGGCATACACACATGCATATCTGGACGGAATGGCCTCACGGTACTGTCGGTGCAAAGAAGATGAATGAAACAGGTTGACTGTCAGATAAAAAGAAGGACATAAAGAAGATTACAATTATTTATAAAACCAATGGTGCTAGTCCTCGTTGTTGATACAAGCTGCGGAGGTTAATTTGGAAATGTAATGTGTTACCTTATTTAAAATGTAACAAGTAGTGTAACTATTTCAATTGCTTAATTAAAGTAGTGTAACTGATCACATTAGATTACTTTTTGATTACTTATCTAAATTTCTAATGAACGTCTTCAACTGTTATTCTCAAATCAAATAAGCACGTGTGCTATTCTGTGTCCTAAACTTCTGAAACATATTTTAGAGCAGTCAATGCAATTTGCGAAAGAATCAATGAAATCTGTGTGTGTGTGTGTGTGTGTGTGTGTACTTGTTTATGCTACATTGTGAGTTAGGGTTATCCTTGTCCCCACAAATATAGTAAATATGTAATTGTTGACATTAAAATTATTAAAAATAGTAAATTATGTGAAACATATTTTAGAGCAGTCAATGCAATTTGCGAAAGAATCAATTAAATCTCTGTGTGTGTGTGTGTGTGTGTGTACGTGTTTATGCTACATTGTGAGTTAGGGTTATCCTTGTCCCCACAAATATAGTAAATATGTAATTGTTGACATTAAAATTATTAAAAATAGTAAATTATGTTTATCTGAAAGTGTAACAATGCAAACAGGTTTTCTATAAGGGGTAGGTTTAGGGTTAGGGTATAAAAAATATTGTTTGGTCAGTATAAAAGTAATAGAAGTCTATGCAAAGTCCCCACAATTCACATAAACAAACGTGTGTGTGTGTGTTTGTGTGTGTGTGTGTTAAAATATTCAGATGTAACCCCCTTTGTAATTGTTAACATTTTCATCAATAACTCTAATTTAACTACACATTCTCCCAGAAACTGTAACAGATTACGGTTACATTTATTTTGTAAATAAATTATGTAACTCCATTACATGTAATTACTCCCCAACACTGGTAATGAGCAGGCTAATTTTATTGCTTATTAATACATCTCATTTATACTACTTCTTTAAGTTCTTGATTGATAATGTCTAATCACTTATGAATTTCGAGTGTAGGATATGTGTTTAGAGAACTCCTCCTCCTCGTTTAATATGCAAAATAAACAGGTTATCAAAGTTGACAAGCAGTTTTTTACAGCACTTTTTACAATTACGCGTTATGAACTGAATTGAGATGAGATTTTTCTGAGGCAATTTTTTTACGTAAAATTTACAAATTAAAAACTATTGGTGCTACAGCATAATTTATCCCACAACCCTTATGAAAATTAACCATGGTTTTACTACAAATAAAACCTGGTTACTATAGTTAAACCATGGTAACCAGAAATGAACCATGGTTTTGCTACACTAGCCTTAGTTTAACTTTTGTATATGTAGTAAAACTTTGTTATACAAATGGTAATCAATACGCCAAAAACATGGTTACTACACTTTTACTTCAATAAATCCATGGTTATTTTTTAAGGGAAGATCAATAAGGCAAAGACTGTTATGCCCGGTTCAGACTACACGATTTTTTGCCACGATTTGCTTGACGTAGGGTGTCGTGGGGATTCGTAAACGACAATGGGCGTCGGGATGCAAGATTCCATCGTTTCAGCACGTGTAGTGTGTCATAGTGGACGACAACCGATTCCGCGTCTGCGATGCTTCACAACATCACGACAGAAAGACTAGCATGTTTAATTTTTTTCCGTCGTCCACGACGAGTTCTGTCACATTGGTGACGTTGACCAATAGCGGCACAGAAGCTCTTTCAAACACAGGTTTCAAACATGGCAAAACGAAAGAGAGATGATGGTGCTGCTAGGTGGAATTATGGAGGAAAGGTTTGTGGAGCTGTGGCAACAGTAGGCTACTCCTGCCTGTATGATGTGTCATCGAGGGACTACCACGACAGAACAAAGAAAGAAAAATGCTGGCGAACTATAGCGGAAGCGCTTCAGCAATGTTTACTCTCTTGTTTTCGGAAGTCAGTCGCTAGTTCCGCCTTCTCGATGACATCACGCGCGTCGTTAAAGACGGCACGCGATGAATGGTCGGGAAGCAACGCACAGTGACTATCATGACCGACAAAAATATTGTGTAGTCTGAACCCGGCATTAGGCTATTTGTTTCATTATATCACCATAATCAGACAATATTAAGCATTTATGGTTGGTGGTCTGAGCTTAAAAGTAGGGTGAATGGATGAAGGCTGAAATCAAGTATTACCAGAGGTGGACAAAGTACACAACTCCCTTACTTGAGTGAAAGTACAGACACTGCTGGTCAAATGTTACTCCATTACAAGTG